AGCACTATGCTGAGTGAACTAACTCAGTCCCACAAAGATTAATATTGTATAAAACCATTATTGTAGAATGAGTATAAGGATCCAGGAGGGGTGGGAGAGGCTGGAAGCAGAGGGATGTGGATGTGCAGGGGGCAGGGGAAATTAATCATTAGGTTGTACAATTTGATGGGTGGGGGTGAGGGAAATTGAAAGAATTTGTTCAAATTTGTATTCAAATTTTGTCAATAAACTAGTGGGGGGAAAAGTAAAAAAAGACAGTAGTCACTGTTGTGATGGTTAAGTGCCGTCCAATTGATTGATGTGTAGAAACCCCATGTACAAGAGGATGAAGCCCTGCCTGAACCCTGCGCCGTCCTCATCAGTTCCACTGTGCTTAAGCTGATTATAGTCATGTGTCATCCCTTCGAGGTCTTCTCTCATCCAGTCACCCTCTGCTTTCCCTGCATAACGTCTTCTTCCAGGGGCCCGCCCCTTCTGATAGTATACCCAGAGTGCGTGCGATAAAGTCTTACCAACCGTGCCTCTAAGGAGCACTCTAGCTGGATGTCGTCCAAGATAGACTTGTTGATTCTTTTGGCAGTTCATGGGATATTCAGCCTTCTTCACCAAAACCACAGTTCAGAGGCATCATTTCTCTCTGCCTTTCCTTATTCATGGCGCCAACTTTCACCTGCGTAGGAATTGAAAGCACCATGACTTGGATCAGGTGCACCTCAGTCTAGAAATTAACATCTTTGCTTTGCCACTTTAAAGAGGAGCTTGAGAGCAGATATTCTCAATGCAACACATTGTTTGATTAATGCCTTTCTTTTATATGGGAGGAAGTGGAGGCTCAGAGAGGTCAAATAACTTGTCTAAGGTCACACAGCCAGTAAGGTGTGGGCTGTCTAGTGTAGACAGTCTGCTTTCCCCCGTTTCATCCATTTTCCTCACACCTCTTTGCTCTTTCAAACACAGCCGTGGAATTCTTTGTGTTCAGCTTATCTATCTCAAGAAGGCTCTAGTGGGGTAGCCCCCAGGGGGCTGTGTTGCTGATCCCCAAGGTGGAGCCTCTCTGGTTTCAATCCACAAATCAGCTCCGCTGGAGAAAGGGGGACAGTCTCTTCCTGTGAGATTTACAGCCTCTGAAACCCAACGAAGGGTCCTCTGTGAGTTGGTTCTGACTTGAAGGCAATGAGTTTGAGTCTATCTGTCTCAGGGACGTGAGATTTAAATTCTGATATAAAGTACTGACAGGACTATCCTAATCTGGTACCTTTGTCTCCGGTGTTCTGTCTGGTCTGGTAGCATGGCGCAGTACGAACAAACTGAAGAATTGGGCAGATAATCTGAGCTCCAGTCCCTAGTTGCTGCGTGTCAGCTGTGTGACATCGGGCAGGTGCCATGACCTCTCTGATCTCTAGGTGGTTTTCTTGTTTAGTGCATTTACCCATTGTGGTAGTGCCTAACGTGATGTCAGGTGGGCAGCAGATACTTCACTAATATCCCATTCTTCTTCTTCTTCTCTATCTCTGAACAGTGAACTGAGGCCTGAGGTCAATGAGACCTAATACCTGTTCACAGAACAGCCTGGACAGAGGCTGAGGAAATCCCAAATCAGGAGTCAGGAGCTTGAGTTCTAGCTATTCCTGATTCTCACATTTCCAGGTGGCTGGGACAGGTTTCTTTGCTTGACACGGATGGCTCCACCCTTTGGCCCCATCTTCCTTGCCATTTTCTGAGATTTCCTATTTAGGTCAGGACACGCCTGTGCCTGAGGTGACTGCGTAGTGCCAGGTGGATATGGCGAGTGTCAGCTTTTCTGTTGAGGCCTTCTTGTCAGTATTCCCACCAGCTCCCTCTCAATGGCCCTGAGGGGAGAGGAATTTAACTCTTCTCAGAGAGAAGCTCAAATCATGGTGACTCTTCATCAGGTTTCTGAGGCTGTAAATCACACAGGAAGACTGCCCATCTTTCTCTTAAGGATCCTCTAGTGGATTAGAACTGCCAGAGAGCCCTTTGTTCTATCAGCATACCTCTCAATGCTTATTCAATATGAGAGCAGTGGAAACAAAACCAGGTCAGACTCCCCTCCGCCTTGCAGGATCTGAGAGCAGGGGCAGATCACCCATACGGCAAGGTCAGCCCACGTGAGGAGAAACACACAGGACGCTGTTCATTACAGATTACCGAGTAAGCGCACGTGAACCTGCATTTACCTGGCTTGTTTTGTCTGTGTCAGGGAATACAAGTTTAAAAGAGGCTCTGATTCTGGGGGGGGGGGCGCTATGGGCTCAGGAGCGAGACAGATGCCAGCCATACCTAGAAGCCATCTCTGATGTGGTGAAGAAAAAAACACACCAAAAAAAACAACAAAACAACCCCAAATGTGAAATAGAAACCCACGCTCACCTTGCTTATCAAGTAATCTGATGCTCTCTGAGAGGGCCTGATGGGGGAGGTGAAAAATGAGTGAGAGGCAGCTTGATGCTCTTTATTCTGCCTTCACGGAGCCTGTGGGAGCTGCGTTCCTTGTCCTTTACACTGGTCACGAAAAGGGGGACAGGCTGCTGTGTGCTTCCCCACATCCTCCGATGGCTTGGAGTGCAGTCCTGGGAGACTTCCTCAGGTATAGAGGCTGAGGAGAACCAATGCCCAGGCTTTCTCCTCCAGCACATATGGTTGCTTTGGCAGGAAGGTAGAAGGTCAACACACCCAGAAAGATCCTTTCTCCTCACCTTTCCACTTCCCTGTACAAGTGGGAGGCAGCTTTGTCACCCTGGGTTTAAGATCCTCATAAAAGGAGTTAATATCCTGTAATTACATAGATGACTTGCACTTAGCAGGCCCATTTAAAGAAGGGCAGGGAAATGGATCGTGTCTTAAGAGAGTGACCTTTACTGGGCAAGTTGACTTCCCAAACCTGCCAATTGAAGAATTCTGAAGGGATTGTCCTTGGTTTTATTTCTTCTTTGCCTCGTTCATTGATTTGGGTACATCTTCCCCAGTTCCTCTAGTACTTGCAGAGTTCTTGAAACTCCTTGGAATTTACCAGGCCTGTTAAAACTTCCCCAGCATGTACGTGATACATTTCAGTAACTCTTGGCACTTTCTGAGCCAGGGATGGAGGCACAGAAATAGAGACCACAAAAGAAAATCAAACTCACAAATCCGTTTTTAAAAAAACATTAAGAGGCCTGACAAGCTGGTTGGGTTTGTTTTTTTTTTTTTGTTTTCTTTTAGCTATCGATATTATAAGTTCACAGGAACTTGGGTGACATAGGTTGGCTTGTAATCAGCTGCTAACTGAAAGGTTAGTGGTTCAAAACCACACGGCTGCTCTGTGGGTAGAAAGACCTAGAAAACTGCTCTATTGCTGTATGCCCACAAGTCAGCTTTGACTCCTGCCAAGCTTTGTGATAGGGAAGAACGGCCTCATAGGTTTCATAGATTGTATTCTGTGGAGCCACTGTATGGGTTTGAACCACCAACCTTTTTGTTACTAGCCAAGCACTTAACCATTTCACTTTTAGTATTTTTCTGTAAATACTGTAGGCAAGAAAGCCTTATAAGACATTTCTCCTCTGAAATGAAAGAGTGTATAAAACACAGTGTATACGAATGAAACATACTGTAAAGGTATTATTATATGAAAATCAATAGAAATATTTTTAAAAAGACATTTCTCCTCTGTAACACATGGGATCCTTATGAATCAGAATCTCTTCAACAATCTATGCTTGTCTTGTGTGGTTTTTTAAAAAAGTTACAAGTTCATTCTCATTGCTATTGTGAGCACCTTTCTCCCACTATTAAAGCAATTTCTTGGTGCCTAATTCTTCCAACCAGAGCAGCATATTTAATTTGGACAACTCTCTTCAAATGCCCTAGTTGTGAATTCAAAACCTCCCTCTGCAAAGTAAAAGGTTGACATTTTTGGCTAGAATAATACTTTGTACTTTAGAGTGGTTTGGGGTGATGTAGGTGTCTTTAGGATGGCAGTGTTTAAGCAGTTGGATACTAACTGAAAGATTGATGGTTCAAACCCACCAGCTACTCAGGAGAAACACATGGTAGTCTGCTTGTGCAAAGGGTTGTCGTTGTCATTACGTGCTTTTGAGAAGGCTCTGACTCACAGCGGCCCTGTGTGCAGGAAGTTGAAACCCTGCTCCGTTGGGCACTATCCCCGTTCCTTGCTGTGCTTAAGCCCGTGGTTGGAGTCACGGTGTCCTTCCATTTCCTTCAGGGTCTTCCTCTCCTTCACTGACCTGCTTTTCCCAGCATCGTGTCCTTTTCCAAGAACTGGTCCATCCTCATAACCTGCCTGAAGGACTCCAGGTGAAGTGTCACCATCCCTGCCTCCAGGGAGCGCCTTGGCTGCACTTCTCCCCAAACAGACATATTTCTTCTCAGCAACCCAGCACGCTTTGTCGAGGTCACAATGTAAAAGCATCAGTTCTGTTTTGGTGTTCCTTATTCATTGTCTGATTTTTACAAGCATTTGAAACAATTGAAAATACTGTCATTTGAGCAGGGCTCGCCTTCGTCTTTAAACTGACATTCATTTTATTTATTAACTTTTTAAAAAATTGTGTTCTATACAGTCCGTCATTTACTATATATTTCATTCATTTATATTGTGGGTATAACCCTTGAATGAGAATTTGCTGGAATCGGTTCCAAGGACAGCTGAGGACGTGCTTTTCTGTAAGATTGACTTCCATTTGGCCACATTGACACTGCCTTCCCACTTTGGGGTGCCGCACTGTTGAGGCCTACAGAACCTTGTACATGAGGATTCTCGAGGAGGGATGACATTATTGCTGGGTCCCTGAGTTCTTCCTCCAAGACGTGGTCTGCTCAGCTCAATAAAAGCTGTCTTCTCTTTCAGGTGTTGGCTCACGCTGTGGTTTTAGGAAGGCTCAAAGACCAGAAGGCAGCCCTGGGCGGTGAAGAAGCCGTTACCTTGGGCCGTTGGAACCTTCTGGTCAAGAGGAGCAGCTGTCCCTGCACCTGGACTTATGACCCGCGGCCTCCCTCCCAGCCTGCCCAGCGAGCTCCCCAAAATGGGCTCCTTCCGCAGGCCCAGGCCTCGCTTCATGAGCTCCCCGGTGCTCAGCGACCTGCCACGATTCCAGGCCACCCGGCAGGCAATGCAGCTGGGCTCCAACTCTGCCTGGAACAGGTAAGGGAGGCCTATGGGCGTCTGGCCAGGAGGTAGCTGCTGCTGCCGGGCATGCTGCAGGTTTCTAGCTGGTTCATTCCAGTTCAACACCCTGCTAAGAATTTGCATGCCCACCTCTTCACCCGCTCACTCCACTGAGTGTGTTCCTGTGGAGCTCAGCTCTACTCTAACACACGTGGACTGTCGTGAGGAAGAGTCAACTTGCAGTCACTGCTGGTGGTGGTGGATAATGCTGGCCTCACAGTGCCATGAAACCCACTCCTTTGAGTTGATTCTAGCTCATGGAAACCCCTCCCTGGATTTCCAAGGCTAGCAGAGCGGGAGAAGACTTCCCATCTTACCCCCATGGAGTTGAAGGTGGATTCACAGAGAAACATAACCTTTGGGTTGGCGGTGCAACTAGCTGTGGGCCAGAGCTTCCTTCTCCACCCCAGACACACTGACTACGCCTCCACCACAGAACGTTACTCTCAGACAGTTAACAAATCTTTGTGTATGTGTAAGAACAGCCTGTACCTTTTACCAGGGGGGAGACCGCAAAGGGGAATGGAAGGCTGCTTCATGTGAAATTCTTCCAAGAAAAGAGCTACCAAAAAGAAATAGTCTCCAAAAGTTAAATATAGCCTTTCTACAAAGACGCCACCGAAAGCGAAGAAGGAAGCCCCTGCCCCTCCCAAAACTGAAGCCAAAGCAAAGGCATGAAAGGCCAAGAAGGCAGTCCTGAAGGGCGTCCACAGCCATTCCTTGGGAGAAAGATCACCAGTGTCTTCCCATAAAGAAACCCCATGGACCGCAGCCACGATTTGGAATCTCCTCAATGGTAGCACCTAGGAGAGGCCATTACTTGGAAAGAGACATCATGCTTGGAAAGATGGAGCATCAGCGAGGAGAGGAAGACCTGCCACGAGACTGAATGACACAGTGACTGCAGCAATGAGCACTAATGTCTCAGAGATGATGAGAACGGCACAGGATAGGGCAGGGGTCAGGTTGGCTGTTCATAGGGTCACTATGAGTCGGACTCAACAGCGCTTAGCAACAACCACAAAGGCTTCTGATTTATATGTATGTTTTACTACAGCTTGTTTAAAGAGGCAAAGAAATATCTTTTCGTGTTAGCTGCTGGCCACCAGCCTGCTTTGTGAAGACAGTGAAGGAACCTGTCTGATTCCTGTTTGTAGTCACTGCCGTCTTGAATCATTCAGATCTCAGTTGCCGGACACGTAGTTTGTTCAGCAGTCCCGCACTTTGATGATTGCCACTCGCCAGTGCGGCAACCACAGGGTCAAGGGAAGAAAACTTGCTGACCTATGAGAACACAATACCTACTCTTGTGCTCCTTCACCTTCAGTCTTCCTTCCTCTCCACGGACCCTGGCAGGAAAGGGTGGATTCTGGGATTGAACTCATGACTGGCTGTGGCCTGGGCTTCCTGACCCTCCCACTAGCCTTCAGCCCAGTACTATGTGCCGAGATGGGCTTCTAACCAGAGTTTAATTTCTCTTTCCCCACAGTGTCCAGACTGCTGTAATTAATGTCTTCAAAGGAGGCGGCTTGCAAAGCAACGAGCTCTATGCCCTGAACGAAAACATCAGGTAGGAGGGCAAATGGAAACAGAGGGGCTGCACCTCCAGGAGTCTTTTATCTAAAGCTATTCTCTGATTGGTTTGTGTTGCTTTGCTACAGGCTGTTATGTTATTCTTATGGTAGTTGAGTTCTGAGCCCCTTTTCTGTATGCTTTTGACCTAGGGGTCATCCATCCATTTGTTTATGTATATAGCGTGTACATGTGTGTGATGTGGTCAGGTGGATGGTTGATATTGCTATTAGCTGCTGTCCAGTGACCACCTGGTTCAGTGCTTAACAGGGTGAAGCATTGCTGCTCCTCCCCCACTCTTGTGGTTGGCTGTGGTGGGGCCATTGGAAGCTGTAGGATTTTCATTACCTGTTTTTTACAAGTAGATCACCAGGTCTTAATTCTTAGTCCATCATAGTCTAGAAGCTCTTTTGAAACTTCTCAATCATCATCATCCTAACAATATGCAAACTTCCACAGACAGACAGTTGGTACTTGGACATAAAGTACGTAGGCTGGGAATTGAACCTGGGTCTACCTCCTAGAAGGTTATCATTCTACCTCTGAGCCACCATCAATGTCCCCATTGATGTTGCTGTTCTTTTAAGAACAATTGAGTTGGCTCTGACTCATGGTAACCCCACACACAACAGAATCAAACCCTGCCCAATTCTACAACACCCTCACGACTTCAGCCGTGCCTCAGAGCATTGTTGCAGCCACTATGTCAGCCTGCCTCATTGAGGGTCCTCCTCTCCTGAGCTGACCCTCTTAGTCCTTCTTCAGAGACTAGCCCCTTCTGAGAATTTCACTAGAGTGTGAGGTGTTACTTCACCATCCTAGCTTCTGAGAAGCATGATTCCAGGACAGATTTGATAGATGGTTGCTGTTATTTATTCTCTGCTTCTGCATTAGGGAAGTAGCCGTGGTGGGACAAGTTAGTGCTAAGCTAACTAAAAAGTTGTTGGTTTGAACCTTTCAAGTGGCTCCTCGGGAGAAAAGACCTGGGAATCTTATTTTGTAAGGACTACAGCCTAGAAAGCTCCACGAGAAAACTCAGTTGCATAAAGTCGATCTGAATAAACATCAACCCAGCATCTAACAACAGTATGTCTTAGTCACCACATTAGACATAACCTTTGTTACTTCACTCATTCACCCACTCGTTGCATCAGAAACAACCCATAGCTGATCCTCCAGCCAGTTTCTGGACCAATCAGAAGGCAGGAGATTTCCCGTCCTTCTCCCGGAGCCCTGGAGAGTTCAAACCTCCAGAGAGGAGTGGGCTTGGAGTTAGCTGCCTGTGTCCACACCGAAAGGGCTCTTTCTTGGTTACTTGTTAAGTTCCGTCGTGACTACGACCAGTAGCAGCCTCTGAACAGATCTGAACCTGCCCCATCGTCACATCGCTGATGTGCTCCCACCTGTTGTTAGGGCCACTGTGTCAGTCTGTCGTGTTGAGGATCTTCCTCTCTTCCTCTGACCCTCCACTTTTCTCAGCATGATGTCTTTTTCCAAGGCCTGCACCCTCTGGCAGCACTCACTAATACAGGCTCGTCAGCATAATCAGAACTGCAGTTGTTCGCTTACTGTTTTTTTGCTGTTAGGTACTGTCAGGTCAAGCAAGACCCATAGACTCATAGTGACCTATGAACAACATACCTGAACCTTGGCCTGTCTTGTGTCATCTGCCTCATTTCTGACATACGTGAGCCCATTGCTGTAGTCCCTTACTGTCAATCCATACATTTCTTAGTGCTGCTTTACACATGGGTAGTTTTGAAGAACAGAAGTTTATTTTCTCAGAATTCTGGAGTTACCAGTCAGGATCTCAGCTGTCTTTCTTCCCTCTTTGTTGAAATCCCTGACTGTTTCTTACCTCTATGGGTCACACAGAGTCTTCTGTGTTTGATCTGTTCTTTTCATAACTAAAAGGTGATAAGGTTTTAAATACAACCTATCCTGGTGTGATCTCATTAGCAGACAAAGAAAAACCTGTTTCCAGACAATGTTGCGTCTACAGCTATGGGACTGGGATTCTTGCACATATTTGGAGACCTCCATAGTGGTTCAAATACACCAGTTGCTCTGAAGAAGAAAGAGGGTTTCCTAAGTCTCCTCCAGTGTGATTCTGAAAACCCACTAAGAGTCAAGTAGGTTCCAACTTGATGACAGTGGGTTGTTGGTTGGATACAGTAGGCACCAGAGAGCTCTGGGCATCAGACACCAAGGACATCATGCTTGGAAGGTGAGGGGGTCAGTGCAGGAGAGGAAGACCCGAAATGAGATGAATCCAAACCCTGGAGACGTGCAGCCTTTTGGTGCAACACTGTAATAGACCCCATAGTTTCACCAGAAGCTTCTGATAGTTCATGATCATATTGAATCTTCTTGGCCCACCCCATAAGTCAAGGGCATCCCTCCTTTGATATTCCTGCCACATGCATATTCAAAATAGGCTCTGACACATGCTAATTACTGGGTCCTCATCCTCATCGTTGTCAATAGGCTTGGAAAATTCAAACCTCCATAAGACATGGTTCTTGGCTTTGAGGAAATTATTATCTTCTGGAATCTTCTTGGTAAAGAAATAACTGCTTTTAATGTGCTAGTTCACTCAGTCATTCACTTACTCATTCATCCAGATTCAATCATTCACTTACTCATTCATCCAGATTCAATCATTCACTTACTCATTCATCCAGCAAATATTTGAGTACCCCTCTGTTACACCTTCAAGGAGGTGGATCCATGCAGTGACTGTAACGACACAGTAACACACAGCAGAGACTGTGAAGACAGTAATAAGACTGGGCAGGGTTAGGGTTAGAATCACCTTGATGGTACCTAATAGCAACAACAGCCGTTGGCCTGGCAATGGGGAGACAATGATAAACAAAGGCCAGACATGGACCTTGACCTTCTGGAATTTATATTCAGATGACACAACCCAGCTCGCTGAAACTGAGGAGGACTTGAAGCGCCTGCTGCAGAGGGTCAAGGACTGCAGCCTCCAATATGGACTGAGGCTCAATGTCAAGAAGACAAAGATTCTCTCACCACTGGACCAATTGGCAGCATCAGGATGGATGGCAAAGAGATTGAGATTGTTCACAGCTTTAGTTTGCTCGGCTCCACAGTCAACACTCTCAGCACCAGTAGCCAGGAAATTAAAAGATGTATTGTGATGGGAAAGGCTGCTGTTAGGGACCTCTCCAAAGTACTGAAGAGCAAAGGTGTCTCTCTGGAGACTAAGGTGCGTCTGATACAGGCCATGGTCTTTGCAATCACTTGTTATGCTTCAGCGAGTCAGACAGTGACTAGGGAGAATAGAAGGAAAATTGATGCCTTTGAGCTGTTGTGCTGGAGAAGAGTATTGAGGATACCATGGACTGCCAGGAAAACAAACAGATTCATCCTGGAAAGGGTCAAACCGGGTGTCTCCTTGGAGGCAAGGATTCTGAGGATCCATCTAACATACTTTGGACATGTTGTGAGGAAGGACTGGTCCTTGGAGAGGGACATCATGCTTGGTAAGGTGGAGGGACAGCCCAGGAGGGGAAGGCCCTCTATGAAGTGGATTGATTCAGTGACTGGGTTAATCGGGATGGGAGTGTCCGAGACGGTGTGATTGGCACAGGACAGAGCAGAGTTTAGGGCTGTTGTACATAGGGTTGCTACGAGTCGCAAGCAACTCGACGGCACATAACAACAACAACAACAACAACAGAAGAGATCATCATTAATCAACTAATCACACAAGTAAATATAAAAGTGCAATTGTAGTAACAGCTACAATGCAGGTGTTGATAATGAAAGTATATTCTAGGATGACAAGTATATGAATGTTCATGATGAAAGTCTACTGTAGGATGGCAAATTCTTGCCAGAGAGGCCAGGAGTGGTGGATGGAATGGATGGAATGCATGTGCTATGATCATATGGGTCAGTAGGAAATAATCAAGTTTAAGAGGACTCTGCATGGAGGAAATTTCAGGTGCAGAGATCCTGTGGGGGCAGCAAGGAATGGAAAGAAGGCCCATGAGAATAGAACCCCATGGTTTAGTAGCAGTGTGGTTTGGTTTGTGTTTTGATGAAATTAGGGCAAAGGGGTAGACAGAGCCCAGAACATCAAGTTTCCTTATTGCTGTAAGACTTTAGTACCCTGCTGATTTGCCTTCAATGTGTTAAGTGCAGAGTATCAAGACTTGAGGTCCAACCTTAGAGCAGAACAATAAACAAGACTACTGTTTAATCCTGTTTACATTTAGTTAAGGCCTATTTTAAAGGTCAGTGAGGTATTTTAGAATCTGTGCTTTCATGAGAATCTTTAAAGCTCTTAAGCAAACAGAATTGGGTTAGAATTTGTATTTGTCCTTGAATTCTGTATGATAGTTATGTAAAGAAGGAGAATGGAGACCATCTAATCCAAGGCTTCACTTTAATGATGAGGCAGTTGAGGTCCCAAGGACTTGTGGAACACGAGTGATGCTGGGACAGCTAACCCCTGAGTCTCACACATGGTTTTACTGCACAAGTTAAGAGCCTGGCCTTTTCATGAAGATTTCTAGTTCACAGTAGAAGTACAAATAAACACAAAGGTGACTCCAGAAATTGCTCATTGTTTCTCACTTCAGGAACGCCATCCTGAAAATAAACTTAAAAGCATTGTTTGCAGGCAGCTAGGAAGGGTGCAGGCCATGCCAGACTTCACCAGCCCCTTTCGCTCAGGAACTGCTAACCCAGACACCTTTGGGTGCCAAGTGGGTCCTCTGAGTGAGTTAAGCCAGCCAGTGTGCACCGTAGCAACTTGGAGTGTTCAGCCTCCATCCAAGGAGGCTCGCTCTGCCAGAATGTGCATGCAGTAATTGCACTGTATTTCTCTGGAAGAGCTGCAATTTGAGATTTTTGTCTTGTGAAGTTCCCTACCTTTGGCAGTAATTAATTTTATTTTTGCACACATCAAGTGTTTGCACATCCAACACAGTGATACTGATTACACTCTTTGAGCTGTGCAAC